GCTGATTCCGGAAGACTAGCGTACGAATGGTTCAGTGGTATTGAGCAGCGTCCTTTTTTCCACGTGTTACGTACATTCTAATGCTGATCTTGTGAAAGCCGAGCTGTTTTTGAATGAAAGAGGAACGCATGACATATCCTAAAAATAAACTGGTCATGGACAACAGCTTCATCCTTTACATAACCTGACTGCGATCCCACTTTCCAGGTTTGTAAGCGATCCCATCCCGCCTATGGGAGTTGAAATCCTTACAGATTTGTGAGCACGGTACAGCATCGTTGTGTGAAACACATAGGGGGGAGGGTCGTACTTTTTCTCTGGGGAGGGGCGGGGGTCATATTTGGTCGTTGGGAGAGAGAGGGATCGTATGTACATTCGAGAGAATGTTGTCGCGTTGGTTTTCCGTGACTTTTGGCGTGATTTTTTTTCCTTTTTCTTGTGCACTATAGGTGAAGGGGGAGGGGAGGGTCGTAACGGTACTGACACTCTCCCTTAGAAGGGGGTGGGGGAGTCGTATCTAACCACCACCTCACATATCGCGATGCTTGAAAATTGTTACTTAGTTTGACGAAATTATGAACTTCCTATCGCAATGCTTTAATGGCTCTGATACACTTCAACTGCTAAAGTTCCAGCTAGAGAGAAAAGAGAGAGAGAAGAGCGGCTCTAGCTGGAGGTCACTTCAAGTTGATATATAGCTGATTCGCTTCTTAGCTGGTGTTATCGCTATTCATTTTTACCGATTTTGTTCACCGCAGCCTCTCTTACGCTTTCCATATGCGGAAAGGAGTTCAAGAGTACCGTTTGCAGTTTTAATACATTCTCATTTCCAGTTCGTATAAGTAATTCATTGTCAGCAAAAGTTCGCTTGGGACGGTGAGAACTTTGTGAACTCCTACGGACCGGACAATTATGTAAAGTATTTCTGTAGAGTTACACGAGCTTTGCTGATAGTGGGTTATGTCAAAGTTCTATCCTGTCATCAGTTCTCAATGTGCTGAGAAATGGTTTTAAGCCAATGGATGACTACTTCTGCATAAAACGAGATCTAGGGCTCATGGGCCATCCCAAAGTGCGTGGCGCAATTCGAGTGGGCAAGAATAGTCTCGAAATGCTTTACCTAGATCGGTTTTGTTCCAAGGTTTCACGTTTTCTGAGCGATTTCGCTTATTACCACATACCATTCCTTCTCGAGAAATAAATTTAGCCCACAACAAAGATCATCCATGATAACTACCTTTGATGAACTGTTCGATGCTTATAGAGCCTTCTGGGTTGATTGAGCGTAACAAAAAACGTCTAGACAGCACCCCCTCCAGCATCTCTAAATGAAACTAATACCATTTCGCAGCTACTCGGTTCACAAAGTGCTACAAAATTGTTGCCGAATGCTTCCATCCTAAGCGGAGAGGCGTCAATATCCGAGTTTTCCTGGTTGGTCAGGGCCCCTCCTTCGCCCATGGGAGGGATGAAGATTTGTTGGAATTTTACGCGAGATACGAGACAGCAGCAGTTGAGAGAGCATACAAATGAGCGAAACGGCCGACCCCAGCGTAGGCGGAGTCACTTGCGCTCATGGAGCAACTATGCGTCTTATGTCTATGTATGTATATCTTCACGTCCTTATCTTGCAGCTCTCTGAAGCGAAACTGGTAGAAGGTTGTAAATTACAGCCCGCAGCACCTCTACCAATATAACGCTTTGATTCTTGGGGACCATCACGGAGCATGCCTTTACTTTTCGACTGAAAGACTGGGGTGATTGTGCTTCGCATCAAACAGCCCCTAAGGAACGCAACTGACTTCCATTCGGGACTTCCAAAAGAGTTTATCCCTTTATCTGAGAGCTCAATTGGAAAAGGCGGTGATCAGGCTAAGCGTGCTTTCATGTGTACTATATGTGGATATTAAGAGACTTTGCGAAGAGTGGAGATTTGCTTGGATAGAGGAGCATTCCAGTCGTTATCCTCCTTTGGTTCTGCCTCTCTTCTGTTTGGTTTAAGCCTAAGATCCCATATGCGGCAAGTATGCAATAAATTAAAGTTCTTAGCAGATTTCTAATGTTCCTGAGATGATTTGTGGCAAAGCGCATCTTTGATCTTCCCGGCCGGCGAGAAGCCACCATTTGTCAGAAGGCGCTTTCTCTAAGAAGAAAGGAGCAATTTAAAGTAATCATGCCTCTCATAAAAATAACTTCAAGACCTCCCAAGCAGTTCTATAATAGGAAGCGCAAGCGAAGCTTAAAGAAAAGTGGTTGCTGGGGAGCGCTTTGTCGGTGGTTCAGATATACAAGAAATGCGTACTTCTATTATTAGGTTGTCCGGAAAGTTCTGCAGGTTTTGTTACTTTTTGCACATTCATTGCTGATTAAAAACTCATTCTCCCTTGCGTCTCAGTAGTACATCCTGAAGAGAATTCTTTGCGCTATCTGATGGTATAATTGCCGTTTCACCATTGCTTGATGAACCCCCTTTTTTTAAAGATTTTTCAAGCATGTGAAAAGAGCACTTCGGACAATTTTTTTCTTCGATTGTAAATTGGGGCAATCCCAATCGAAAAAGCTCATCAAATTAACCAGATGTGGGGGCCCAACAGTGCTAGAGAAAGCACTGTGCAGCAATGGTTCAACAAATTTCGTTCTGGAGATTTCAACCTTGAAGATGAACCTCAGCGGTCGACCCTAGCGGTCGACCTAAAGCAATATCTGACGAGGATTTTAAGGGGATTTTGAAGGCTGACCCATCCCAAACAGTTCGAGAGATTGCAGAAAAGCTAGGCGTTGGCAAATCCACTGTTGCAGATGGTCTGGAACGCATTGGGAAGGTGAAAAAACTCGACAATTGGGTGCCCCACAATCGGAGTGACCGGCAGGAATCGGCACGTCTCGAGGTTCCTTCTGCATTGCTTTTGCGCAGCAGAAACGACCTGTTTTTGGGCCGAATTGTCACCTGTGATGAAAAATGGGTCATGTATGATAACAGGAGACGTTCCGGACAGTGGTTGGATTTCGACGAACCACCGAGGTAATTTTCAAAGCCGAACCCTCACGAAAAAAAGATTCTGGTCACGGCTTGGTGGTCATCGGCTGGTGTGATCCACTATAACTTTTTATCACCAGGCCAAACCATCACAGCAGAACCCTACTGTGAAGGAATCGACGAAATGTACCGAAAATTTTGTCAGAAAGGGTCCGATTCTTTTGCATGACAACGCCCGCCCACACGTTTCACAAATCACTATCCATAAATTGAACGAATTGGGGGTTGAAGTTCTACCTCAACCGCCATATTCTCCAGACCTTTCACCAACCGACTATCACCTTTTCAAACATTTTCAGAACTTCCTTGCTGGAAAATACTTCATCAATCAGGACCAGGCAAAAAAGCCTTCGTAGATTTCGTGGATTCTCGACCACCCAGTTTTTTCTTTGATGGGATTTCTCGACTGCTGTCACATTGGCAAAAGTGTGCTGATTCGAATGGTGCTTATTTGGATTAAATCCGATGAGTGTTAAGAAAGTTATGATCGTTTAAAGTTAAACACTCAAAACCTGCAGAACTTTCCGGACAACCTAATACATTCCCGGGTGGATATGGAACTTTCGTTTTCGGAAATGAGATGATGATTTCGGCGCATATGTTCACATTATCCATCTGTTACAACCATCTACAGTCATTTAAAGACACATTTCAGAATTGAATGTGTGGGATTTGCGGTTCACTTATGAGCTGGGTGATTACTGAGTCACTGAGGAAAGGGTGGACAAACAGGCAGAACACCTTAGTAATGCTCAGGGACGGCTCTTCGAACAGATAGACCCCGCTGCGCGGGTGCTAGATGGGAGGGACAACGGATAAGGTTAAAAGGATAGAGTTTTCGCCTTGATCAATCCCTTCGTGGGATGCCACACTCATTCTAGTTCCATTCAGAATCGTACTGATGATGCAATGACTTGTGAGGGAGAGCCGATGCACAAAGCGTTTTCATCCTCCCAGACAGATCCAGTGCCAGATTGCCGTCCGTAGTGGGCAGACGGCTCGATTGCCTCAGACGGGAGCTGCTGCAGGTTCTGATCCCCATACGCGTGGCAAGCGTGGCACTTGCCGCTGCACCAGCCCTGCCTTATAACAGATAAGGGCACAGAAAAACGAGTCGGAAGACGAGCGAAACTTCATAGATTAGTCGTACACGGAATGGACGCAACACATTATCCGTCCTGTTCAAAGGATATAGGACCGCTGTCACATTTTGTCACCAGATGGACGAACCCTTACGTTGCTATATGGGTTAAGTTCTATGCTGTGTTCCCTCGGCTAATGGTTACGCACTGATTATTTGAGTGCCATAGAGCAAGGAAGGGCATCAAAACTTCATGGAATTTGCAAAGATCGAAATTATCCACAGCTTCCAAGTTTTAGCATTTTTGCAGGTTTGAAATGATTTTCAAACAATTTCCCCTCAACGATTAATTATCACGCAGTATTTCAAAGAGATCAAATTTTTTTTTTTGGGCCCTAAAGAAACTATGAACAGGCCAGAGACACATCCCCCGTCAGGTAAAGACTCAGGATTGGCTCTATCGAACAAATTAGACCCCGCTGCGTGGTGGCTAGATGGGAAGACAACGAATAAGGTAAAAGGGTTTATAGAATTTCCGCCATTGCAGATCCTCTTCGTGGAGATGCCGACACGCATTAGCGTAACTTAAAACTCAGAATCTACTGCCTGATGCAATGATTGTGTGAGGGCCAGCCGATGCACAAGGCAGCGTTTTCATCCTCCCAGGCAGATCCAGTAGCAGGTTGCCCTCCGTAGTGGGCAGACGGCTCGATTGTCCCGGGCGGGGCTGCTGCAGGTTCTGATCTCGTGAAACGTGAAATACTGATATCCTCTGCAACATGAATACAAGGCGCTTCTTTTTGGCAACCAAGGCACTGGAGGCGGAAGGGATCCTCATAACTGGAACGGCTTGTAACTCAAAAAAGAGTAATAGCGCTCAAAATGGTGCTCATAGGTTGTGAAGTTAGTGGTCGTGGCTCTTGTCCAGCAAGATTTTTAGCAGTGCGGCGGGGGGGGGGGGGAAAGAGCAGAAAAATGACACATTATGCATCTCCATAACCTTTTAGTTTCTTTCGCACTCTGCAGAGGTTAAACGGCCCTAACCCTTGTTGTGGATCAACCTAATTTAAACAGAGGCAGAGTTACAACCCACTCTGAAAAACATGTTTAAAAAGAACAAGAATAAGAGCCGTGAAGAGGAAGAGATTCTGTCAATACCACTAAATCAAATTCAATTCACTACTCGTTTTTTAGGTCATTCTGCCAGGTTTCGTGAACGCTCACTCCCACGCATTTCACCGTCATCTCAGAGGGAAAAGTGGAATCGGTGGCAAATCAGCTGACACGTTCTGGAAATGGAGGGACAACATGTACGCGCTCGTAGACGGCATTACAACAGAGAAGCTCTACGAGGTTTCTTTTGCTGGATCCCTTTTTGATAATGTTTTCAAAATGAGTGTTTACAGCAGTTATCACGTAAAGAGAAAAAAACAGCTCACCATCAGGGCAATCCTGTGCCAGGATACAGCACCGCTGGGAGAGTCGCATTGGCCTTCAGAAAAATTGTTTTCGGGGTGAAAAAAAGCTCCAGTTGTTGGCTTTCGCTTGTTCTTCTCGTTTCTGGTAAACTCTATCCCTGCGCTCCTAGTTGCCGGGCAGTAGAATACCATACGGCAACTACTTTCGATTGTAGAAAATGGTAGCAGATGGTTGAAGGCATCCCTCCCGCTCAACCGCAGTTTTTTTTTCGAAAATTGGAAAAAACAATAGGAAGTAGGGATGACCTAGGAAGATGGTAGGTACGATCGGGAACGGGGTCGTACCTGATAGGGAAACTTGATGGGGGCAGGCTTACTGACACTTTGAATGGAGCGATACTGACCATTTCAGTACTGCTATTGCACGTTTCGCGAGATGCTCGAAGCAGGTATAACCACCGTAGGAGAATTCCACTACGTACATCACGGCACGAGCAAGTTCGACTTGGACTCGGCAGTTTTGAAGGCAGCACAGGACGCTGGCATTCGGATTACCCTCATTCAAGTGAGCGTTTGAGGACCTCTATGCTGAGTGTGGGTGTTCATTGTTGGGCTTTTCAACAGAACTGTTGCATATTTTCAGACTTTCTACGAACACGCCAGCTTTGACCGAACACTACTGCATCCTGTTCAGGAGCGATTTGTTTCCAGTTATCACGATTTCATCGAAAATCTCAACAAACTGTTAACGTTTGTCAGCCAAACAGTCACTATTGCGGTGGCAGGTGACTGTTGTTCCTTTTAAGTATGTCCAAAGCATATGCATCGATGTTGTTTCTGTCTGCCTATCTCTGCTGAATTACTTGAATACGCATTCCACGAAATTCTTTGAAGGTCAAGTGAAAGTC